TTTTAGTGGCGGTAGTTGTTGAAGTAGGTACAACTTCAGACCATTTTGAATGAGCGTCGATAACTACCAAGAACATTTGACCTTGAAACGGACCTGCATAGTCAACATGGATACGTTGCCATGGTGATGTAGGCCATTCCCAAGGATGTAGTGGTGCAACTTTAGGCATTGGTTGATTCTGCTGGCAGCCAGGGCATTTTTTTGTGATTTGTTCAATGTCCTTGTCGATACCTGGCCACCAAACGTAGCTTCGAGCGAGTGCTTTCATTTTTACAATACCTTGATGACCACTGTGCAGTTCTTCTAACACATAGTTGTGAAGTTTGTTTGGAATAATGACTCTCAGCCCCCACATCAGACATCCTTGATATATGGTTATTTCATCTTTGTGATGATAAAATGAACCAAGTTCTTTGTGTTGATAGTTCCATCCTTTCATGGTAGCATCATAAACTTTAGCGAGTATTGGATCTCTGCATGTTTCTTTGCGGACTTGAGCGCTAGTCACTGGTAAGGTATCAAATTGTGTCAAATGCAATATGTCAACTGCATTTTCCTATTGTTTAACATTTAAGTCTAATGGCAATCTTGACAAACCATCTGCATTGCAGTGTTGAGTAGTATTTTTGTACTGAATATCATAGGTATATCCAGTCAAAAATATGGCGTAGCATTGTAAACGTGCTGCGGTTGTAACAGGAATACCTTTACCAGGGTTGAAAATCGATACCAGTGGTTGATGATCAGTTAATAATGTAAATTTGCGTCCAAATAAATATGTGTTGAACTTTTTTCACACCCCACTGTATCGCAAGGGATTATTTCTCAATTTGCGAATAATTCCGCTCTGCTTTAGATAGAGACCTGGATGCATAGGAAATGGGTCTTTCCCTGCCGTCTTCCATCACATGGGATAGCACTGCCCCCAATCCATAAGGCGATGCATCACATGCAATTTTAATTTGTAGGTCAGGGTCATCGTGAGCGAGAACTTTGTCAGAGGTTATTAACCTCTTTGCTTTTGTGAACGCGTTGTCACATTTTTCAGTCCACTGAAATTTATGGTTTTTCTCTAGTAACTGATTTAGTGGGTGCAGCACCGTTGCCAGATCAGGTAAGAATCGGTGGTAGTAGTTTATTAAGCCAAGAAATGCATGTACTTGAGTGACACTTTCAGGTTTCGGTGCTTCTACCACTGCCTTGATTTTCTCTTTTGTCATATGGAGTCCATCTTTGTCAATGATGTGTGAACAGAACTCAATGCTATCTTGGAAGAATTTACATTTACTAAGATTAGCTCGTAGATTGTATTCTTGCAGTCGTTGCAATACAGCTTCAATATTAGCTAAATGTTCATCATCATCTTTGCCTGTAATGACCATGTCATCTATTATGCATTTTGTACGATCTGTTCCTTGTAGAATTTGTTCAATGGAACGCTGCCAAATTGCTTGTGCTGAGGCAATGCCAAATACAAGGCGATTGTATCTGTAAAGTCCCTTTGATGTGTTAATTGTGAGAAATTTCTTTGATTCATCATCCAATTCCATCTGGTGGTATGCTTGATGTAAATCCATTCGAGTGAACTTTTGACCACCTGCAAGCTCAGAAAATATATCTTCAATTCTGGGCAATGGGTATTGGTCAACTTGTAACACAGGATTGACAGTCACTTTATCACCACAGATACGTACTGTACCATTCTTTTTCGCAACTGGTACTATAGGGGTTGCCCATTCACGGTAATTGACTTTGGAGACGATTCCTTCCTCTTCCAGTCGGTCAAGTTCAGCTTCAACTTTTGGTCGAATTGCATAGGGTACT